AAAAACCAGTTAGCTCCATTATTTGAAAATTTACAGTATCAATGAAAAACTATAGCTATTATGCAAGATTTTTTACAAAAACTATTTAAATATGTAAAGATCATATTGTTAATACATTTTTGAAAAAACATTTGTTTAGTAACGTCAGTTGTAATAAAACTGTTCTTGCCCTGAAATTAATACTTGACAAATAAAAATCCTCAAATACAGTTTTATTTATTTGTAAACATAAAAATTACAAATATTATACATTCTTTATACTTAATATTTAGTCATCATCATCCATATCTGTTCTCAAAAGTAATTTGAGATGAACAGTGTTGATTACTATATCATGGTACCAAAAATTATGCTTTGGTTCATATTTTTGGAACAGCAAAAAAACATCCTCTAATTTTTTTTGCTTTATTGTTTTATATAATTGTTATTTTGTTAGTCAGTTGATTAAGGGGGAATTAGCAGATTGATGGTAAGATTAATCTGAATTGGTGGAAGAACCAGAGAACTCTGCAGCTAACTGATTTTTACACCTGAAAAACTTCATTATCTTAATATTTAACTATCAGAGCTGTTTACTTCTTACAGCTATCGATGCGGAATATCGTTAGTATTACATCTACGTGAAAAGTCAATTTTCGCCAAAAACTGGAGCTCTTCGATTTTTGCAATAAGTCCTTTAATTGTTTCTTATTCTTAATTCATTGTTCAATTCTACAAATTGGTTAATTTATAATACTGTAATCGTGAATCAAAGAAAAAGAATGGTGTATAAAATATATTTTGAAATAGTATTTTCAGAAATATATAACATTATTTTCTCAATCATTTAACATACAATTCATATGTAACTATTACTATAACTTTTTATGCTTGTTTATTTATATACAAGAAACCTCAAGGTTCTGATTAGGATATGAAACCTTAGAATCCTTTCAGACTATTGACGATGATTAATATAATATAAAGCCACTTTAGGTGTTACTTCTATAAAAATGTTGATAAGTTGATAGAATTTTTAATTTAAAAAATAAGCAAAATGTTGACATATTCAGAAAGCTATCATGATATACTTTATTAACATTTTATCCTATGTTTAATGTTTCACCTTTTATAGCAATATTAGTATATAAAATTCAGGTGAAAGTTTTGTAAATAAATTATTGCAAAGAATCTATTGCAAAGAATCTATTAATTAATCAATATTATTATTTTCAAATGCACATTAAGAGAAAGTATGCAACTGTCAAAGAAATGTCAAGAAACATTTTATAATGTTCAATGCTAATGAAATGAATATGAAAAATTGATAATAGTAACCCCAAATAGTCATAAATGTACAATATTGTGAAATACAAATGTGGGATTGGTACATACATACATATGTACTTCTAATATCATTTTTCAAAATTAGAGTAACACTTCTTTATAAAATTTCTTGTATGAATTTAATATATTCTTTTCTTGTTTCTGTTACAAACTATAATTTTTACAATTTTATCATATTGTTACTATAAGAAAATATTGCCTAATTTGTTAGCAATAAATAAAATAAACTTTCCTTTGATATTTTCTGTCGATGAATAATACATGTAGGCTTTTTATGACACATTTTAATTCATTAAAGTTTTCATTATATTACTGTTATAACAAAAGATTTTTGTGAGAAATGAATATTATATTCAGTACTGCCACTCTTGATAATATGATATACATTTGGTGATATTTCTATATGAGAATCCATTACATAAATACTTTGTATGTATCTCTAATACAACAATATATTATACTGTTTTAAAAACCACTCCATAATCAATTAACATCTTACTATTAATTTTTCAAATATGACCAATTTATAAAATGACACTTTGTTTACAACTCAAATATATTTTTTAACCATTAACTGATGTGTTGTACACAATGAATATTTGACAACAATTTACATGTTTTATAAATGCTAACGCAAAAATAAGAAATGAATGGATAAAATACCTAAACAGTAGAATTTATCTCATAATAGCCTTAAATGGTTAATTGACTTTGACTATACATTACCACTTTTTTTTATATATATATCAATATTATTTATGTATTAATATGTGTACAGTATGTTGGAGTTAATTGAAAATGGTTAAATATTTTGTAAACAAGCAAAGATGGAAAAATTGTTTAGAGAAAAATTGATACAGAGGAGGGGTATTACTTAGTGCATAGTTATGTATACATATTGTATATGTATATACATATATGTATATATACAGGGTGTCTGTTTTATCACAATACAGCGAAATATCTTCTAAGGAAGTGATGACAGAAAAAAAATGTTTTAACAAAAGTTGTTTGGTATGGAGGGGGACGTTATGTGGTGTAAATATTTTTTTTGTACCTGGTATGGTGGGGGAGATTTCAAAGTCAGTTTAATTTTTTTAAATGGAATGCTATATTTTTTTATACACAATATGATAGTGCATGTTAAAACGAGTCCAACAAGGTGCGAACAAAGTCATTTCCTTTCATGGACGGTCGTAAAATTGCGAAAAACCGGGACCCGGACCACCATACGTTCCTCACTGTCGCGTGTGTCTGTTTTATCAAAGGAAATGACTTTGTTCGCACCTCGTTGGATTCATCTTAACATACACTATCATATTATGTATAAAAAAATATAGCATTCCATTTTAAAAAACAAACTGGACCTTCATATGTCCTCGTCGCGTCCACTGACAAAAATGTTAGTCATATCAAACAATGCTCCCCTCGAAACCATTCAACTTTTGTTTAAATCCTTTTTCGATATAATTAACAGTTTTGAAAATATTTCAGCTTCCAGTCTTAGACTCACCCGGTATACGTATGTATGTATGTAATAGATATTCACTGCTAATAGACGCACTGTTCAGCAATTAGTATAACAATGTATTTACGAATGTGGTGTATGGCTGAAAGATAAATATATGTACGTATATATTATATTATGCCCAGAAACAAAAAAAAGGACCAGCTCTTTTTAAAGAGAAGTGTGAGTATTGGCGCGGGCTAGATAAATCCTTGGCCGGCTGGCAATTATCACTATATGAAACTAAAGCTGGCAAGAATATTTGAACTAATTTTTGTATTTTTAATGGTTTGATTAGCACATCCGAGTTGGGTTGTGATTTTGGTGTTGGACTTTGTCAAAGTGCGTAACAATACTCCCAAAACCGAACCCGGCGGCCAAATGTCTATGAGGTTGAATTTTTAAAACCGTTCATTTCCGTGAAAAATGACCCTCATTCAGCGACCTAAAATATCCCCGAAAAGATGCATTTACATGAAAAATTTTGTAGTCCTGATACTACACTACTGTATCCTTAAAAAAATTCGTATTTTTTTATCTTAACAGGCTGTTTATTACTATAAGTAGCAGAGACAATAACTGTTATAACCAAAATGGAAAAAGTCATTGGATAATAATTGTTTTTTCGATTAAAATGTTTTCAGTTACAAATGACTAAAATTTTGTTTCGTTGCCGACAACTATTATTAATGAGGAGATTCTATTTCGGTCACTTATAATAATTTATTTTGTTGCTCATAACTGATATCGATGGGGGAAATTGTTTTTGGCTGCTCATAATAATCATCAGTGATCGTTATCGATGAGAAAAACTATTTCCATTGCACATATTAGTTGTCGATGATGAAAATAGGTATAATTTTGGTTGCATTCCTTTGTAATTTATGTTTTATCAGTGCGAATAGTAGAACTGTTAGTTTAATTTACAGTGTAATTTAATTGTCCCTTTTTCAGAACAACGACAAAAACATTATTTTATTTTGATCGAATGAAAACAATACTTTACACTATTATAAAGTACAATTTCTTTCCCTCGTCGATAACTATTATAAGTGGCCGAAATAGTATCTCCTCACCGATAATAGTTATCGGCAACGAAAAGAATTGTCGGTTACTTATAATTTGTTATATGAAACCGAAACGTTTAAAAATCTAAATTTTTTAAACAATAACTC